CTACTTTTTAAACTATAAATATCTTCATTAAGATGTTATTTATGTTAACATGTAACATGTTTTTTTTTCTTTTAAATGAACTAAATAAGCAACTCAGTAAAATTTAAAAAGTATATGAAAGGATCCTGAAATCAGAAAGTCTGAGAACTGCTACTTTGGAATGTAAGCTCCAAGAGGGCAGAGATTTTAGTGTTTTGCGCCTTAACACGCCAAATATCCCAAAGAGCCTAGCATATAGCAAGTGCTTAATAAATTCTTGTTGAATGAATGGTTATTAAAATGTTAGATGAACTAACATGGGCTTCCTAAGGGCCTGAGACAAATGGTAATAGATGTGTTTGTTGAGGTTGGTGCATACATTAGGGTAGAATTGCTTTATGCAGACATTAGAATTATTCCTGAAAGGAATGCAGAATAAAATGAAATAATCATTTATATTTCCATTTATAACTTCTCCACATATTCACAAACCCCTGAAATAAGAATTATGACTAAATTAGTGAAAACAAAGACACTCCTTTGAGTTTTCAGCATGTAACTGTCTGGCCTTCTATTCTTTTTGGTACATTCACAGACTCTTGCATCTTGCCTCTCCCTGGATATTTGACAAGATGAACAATCTTCCACAGAGACTAGAAGAATTTAGCCAAAAAAGTGACTTGCTTCTTTCAACTGAGGACATATCGATGCTAAATTAGATGCCTGGTCCCAAAGGGACCTCATGCCTCTAGACTCTAGAATGTTGAATTGATGCGCACAAGTAAAGTTCTGTTGGAATGCACTTTACCACGAATGGAATAGGAGCATCTTACAAAGTATTCAATAACTGTGATTAAGGAGAAGAGACAAAAACCAGGAAAATCAGGCTTGTAATCAGACGGTTGTCCAATGAGTACCTCCTTGGGGAATTAGAAGGAAGTAATTTTAAAAAATACTTCTGATTTCTAACCTTTCTAAAAAGAAAACAAGCATTCAATGAAGTACTGTTGTGCTAGGTAGATAGAAACAAAAGTAAGAGACTTTAATTGACTTGCAAAGTCCTTACTTAGAGTAGATTATTTTCTTTGTAATATAGCAATATTACACAAATTTTTATTAAGTGACTACATCGTGCCTCAGTCTCTCTGGATATTGAGGATCCAGTGTTCCCTGGCTCATGAAATTTATATTTCAGGGAGGAAACAGACAAGCAAACATATAAACCACCAAGGTAATTTCAGGTATGATAAGCATGATAAAACAAGCCCCTGTGTGAAGGAGTGATTTGCTGGAGAGTAGAGTTAGGGAACAGGGTGGGGAGTGCTGGTTTAGACTGGGTGTTGGGGAATCTCTCACTGAAGTGGTGGTATTAATCTGACACCTGAAAGGCAAGAAGAGGCTCGCTGGCAGGAGCATGCTCAGCTGAGAAAACTGCTAGTTCAAGGCCCGGAGGATGGAATGAGCTTGATATGTAAAGGGAAGAAAAAGGTGACTAGTGTAGTTGGAGCTAGTGATGAAAGGGGTCATATGTGGGTGTTCAGAAGTAGGTAGAAACCGCTGCATGAAGTGACTTGAATGAATTTGAATTTTCTTTTGAGAGCAATGAAAAGCCTTTGGAGAGCTGGATCAGGTCAAGTGATCGATTTGCATATTGAGAAGAACCTGTCTGGCTGCCCCACCTGAAATGGATCGTAGGGAAGCAAGTGTAGAAGCAAAGGATCCACTAACAGATGGCCATCCCCTGGGAGAGGGACAATGGATGGTGGCTTGGAATGCAATGGTAGCAGTGAAGAAGAGAAGTGGACAGATACGGATTGATTTGTTCTTTGTTTAAAATCGTGTTTGAAACGTGTTTGGCTCACTGGAGGAGTTTAGCAAATGCTCCAGGCTTAAACACAAAGCTTGCACAGACTCACGGATTTGTGCTGGCTCACAGGGCTAGTAAATTCAGCTGGTGTACCATTCCCACTGCCACTGGGTACTGGTATACATTCACAAAAACCCTTACCTGAGGTCTCTTCCCCTCCCAATCTTCTCTGCATTTGTTGCCATTCTAATGTTCCTTGAGCATTGCTTTCATTGTGTTTACCTTGCTGATAAGCACATTACATGTACTTGTGTAGTTATTGAGTAATTGCAGTGGACTAGGCTTGTATGGGTGGGTGGGGTTCACACACTTAAGATATGGCTCTTGCCTCTAGGATTTTAGAATTTCCTTGGGAGACATAACCCATATGAAGTAATCGAGAGAGAGATAAAAGAGATGGCATAATTAACAAAGCTTTCATTAAAGGAGTTCGGACTTATTCTAGATCTTGAAAGAGAGAATTTTAGCAGAGAGAGGCAGAAAGATACTGGGTGAAAAAGGAACAAAGACACAGTATCCTAGTTTTGTGACACAGAGAGGGGAATTGCTTGAGGAGAGGAGAGCATCTGCTTTGGGAGGTGGGAGACAAAGTCACAGGGCAGGACAGTGCCAGACAATGGGTGCCATCAAAAGCGGGGCACCAAGAATTTAGCCTTGATTCAGTTGGATATAAAGAGTTATTAAAAATTTGTAAGCAAGATTCACTCTTAGTGAGGGCTTAGCTGAGAACAGAGATCACTCCCCACTAGAATTTCTAAGGTATTTATCTTCATCGTTAGGTACTTACCTTGTAACTCTTTGCACTTTTAAAATATATAATCTGCGTGAGTGCGGCCTATATGGAGTAGGTATAGAGGAAATGTTTGACGATGATGAAAGACATGTGTAGGAAAGATTAATTTGGCAGCGGCATACGGCCTGAATTGAAAAGAAGAAAGCCAGGAGGTAGGACAGTCACAAGGAAGCTGCTGCAAGAGTACAGGTGTGAGCAGGAGAATATGGAAGAAGCAGGTATGAGAAAATGCTTTGGAAGTATAATTAAAGGGAGCTGTAATCAATTCAAATGCAGAGTGGATTAAAAATTAATTTTAAGTTTTCAAATATAAAGTTTCGAAGGACCATGATACCCCTCAAGCAAGATGGAAAACTTGGGAGAGGGTATTAGTTTGGGAGGGTTAAGAAGGGAAATTTGGTTTTGGACAGGCATCTGAGATAATGACAGGTTATTCATTTAGAAATGATCTAGGAAATTGGCTAGATGAGAATGAAGTGACTGTGCAGAGACTGGGCTGAAGCTTTGTTATGATTTCATTCATTTCAACAGATATTTATAGAGGTCCTACTATGTGCTAAGAGCTATGGGATATAGAGTTAAAATCAGCATGGGCTTTGAGGACTTAATAGCCTACCAGGGAAAACAGATATGAAACAAAAGAATACAAAGTGTAATGAAATAAGAGTATAGAGGAGAAATAAGAGTCCAGAGGAGGTTAAGTGTTCAGTAAGCAAATTAAATAGCATCCATTTAGCAGTAGGAATTTCCCACCTGAGAATGACATAGAGTCCATAAAAGTATCCAGAGGTGGTTCCTCCTGCTTAACTTTCCCTGACTGTGTCTTGCTACTTTGGCCACCACTGTCTGGACCCAGGATGGCACCTGTTGGGGGAAAGCCCCAAAAGTCTAAATTCAGAATCGCTTATGAAGAACTGACACGAAGCCTTATTCAAATTCATCAGCGCTTTAATAAGAGAAACTACATACCCGGTCAAAGCAGCTGCTTGCTCTAGTGGTGGCCACCAGGGAAGAATCCACCCCTCCTAGGACAGGGTCTCTTTTTCATAGGGGGTTAATAGTAAAAGCATATGGTGGGTAGTCACGTAGACCACCAGAAAGAACAATGCATTTCTAAGTTAACAGATAACATCACACAGTTATTCACATTCTATACATTCATTAGCCTCCTTCCAGGGGCCTGACGTTTATCTTTGGGCAGCATTCCAGCTTTCTGGGTAGTCAGCCAAACCTGAGGCTACAGAGAGTTAAACAGTCACAGAAAGTTAAACAGAGAGTCCAACATTTCCCAGATGCCTTTACTGCCGGAGCCATATTAAATCTCTAAAGTGAGTTCCCCGACAGCACCCAAAGGCAGTGATCTCTAAATAACGCATAAACAAGGCTGGCCACCAATTAGGTGGCCCACAGGAACACTGGGTCCCATGAAGGCCTTTCTTATTGAATAGTGAATGACCCTCTCTCTTGGGATGTTTTAAATGTAAGTCATACAGAGTAGTCACTAGAAGCAGAGGTCGCAGAAGCTGACACTAATATGAGAAAGCAGCAGAAAGATGCGCATTCAGGAGAATGGCAAACATTCCTCTAGTATGGGGAATAGATGCTTATTAATGAGGGGATGAGCAAGGGACCCCAGCCTGTTGCTGGATTACAAGAACTGCAGTTGATTCTTAGAATGAGCAGTAGTTCTGGCTGATGATATGACTTACTGAAGTCTCCTTATTTCCTTAAAATAAACCCTCAGAATTTGCAGTGCTCTGAACATGTCCTGGCATTTTATATCATAAGAGCCCAACTAACACAAGGTATTTCTGCTGTTTGCTTTGATTGTATCTTCAGAAGAGGGTATCTTATGAAGGAAAGGGTCAGTATGATCTTCATAAAGCAAGATCAAAAGAATGTGGGCACGTGGACACGTGTACATGGCTGCCTTCCCAGAAGAGTGTAACAGTAGAGGGTAGAAATACAGTTAGGTCTTAGAGTAAGCCTGGAATCCCCAGGTTCGCACTTTTTGTCACCCCTCTCCTCTTTTCCCATGGTGATCGCAGTACAGGATTGTGTGCTTGTCCTTGGGGACAACAAAGAAAGGGAGAGCCAGGGAAACTATTCACTGAAGCCACCAGGCTTGAGGAAGAGAAACCCCTCAAAAATAGAGAGTGCAGCTTCCAAGGGAAGAGAGGAATTTGAGTCTAGATCAAAGTTTCCCAATGTACAGACTGCTTACCACAAGTTTAAGATCACCTGATTTAATAAAAATGAAGATTTCTAGTTTACCTTAGACCAAATGAATGGAATATCAGGGTGAGGGGCCTAGGAACTTGCATTTTTGTAACTATGTCAAGTGCTTCATAAAGTGCTTACCTTTGAGATCCAATGAAATATACCCTGGAGGCTGATGGCTTCTGAGAAAGCACCCAGGACTGACTGGTGAAAAGGCTTCACATAGCATGTATGTACATTGCTGTAGCAGTGAAAAGAGGGAGAACGTGTGTGAGATGAAGCTGGAAAGTGGGGTGCATGGGACAGATAATGGGGTTCAGATTTGCTTTGGGAATCATGAGCCTAGATGATAACGGAGACCATATTAATGGATTAGGTTTCTGCTAAAACCAGAATTTTTATAATCAGCATAAAAGTGCAATATAAAGCCTTCCCCCCTCTATATTTGTCCTTTTAAGATTTATGGAGCACCAACTACAGGGAGAACATTGTATTAACAGCTGTCAGAGAAAACAAGAGCTCATCATGTACTTGAAGTTGGACAAAATAAATCAGTGATTCATATTTAAGTGACTACAAAGCAACATACAAATAAGTGCAAATTCATTCACTTAACAAAAACTCATTGTGTCCATTATGTGCAGCCTCTTTTCTAGACTTCATAGGATATGGTTTATCAGAAGGTGACCTGGGCGAGTTTAAAGGCAGGTGGTAAGAAGGTGAAAACAGAGATTACAGAGAGTTTAAGACATTTAGTCTAAGTACAGATTTAGAGGCAGGTTTCAGAAGGAGGGTACATAACTTCATTCAACATTCCACACATATTTATTGAGTGTCTATTGTATTGTAGGCACTGGAAACTCAGCATTAAGTAAAAAAGACAAAAAATATACCTGCCCTCATCGAGCTTATATTCTGGTGGGAGAAACAAGAAAACAAGATATAGTATATTAGAAGGTAGTAATTGCTTGAGGGAAAAATAAAACAAGCAGAGGGATAGATTGGGGGGAAGGAGGGAGAGATCCGGTATCGTAGATGATCTTATGGGAAGAACTCATTGGAAGGCATTTGAACAGAGATTTCTGAGTAGGTGTCCGAGGAAGCTTTGGGGAATTACAGTGGATGAGCTTCCACGGCTGCCTCTTCTGCCTGGGGCCAACTGCGATGAGAGGGAGACAGCAACAGGCCCTGCAGACTACAGCCCCCAGGAGTAGGAAGAAAGGGTGACAGTTGCTGTAAGGCCTACATTAACAGACATAACAGTTGGGATTTAAAATAATTGTTTTATTCGTGTTTTATGATGTGGACCACTTACCTTTCTAGGTAGTTTATCCACACGGATTCTGGGTATGCTAGCAGGTTCAATTGTCCCACTGTTCAATGTGTTAACTCCCTGAATGTTAACTGATTCATCTCAGTCTTCTAATTGATGTTTGAATGATTCTCCTCGGGTCCAATCTGTCAAGGGCATTTCTACTTAAAAATAATTTGCCTTCTGAGTGTGCCCTCAGGGGCAAGAGGTGAATTTGAGGTCCCTGTTTAGAGTGGCCTGTGATGGCTTCACAATAGCCATAGAAACAGCAAAAAACAGCAGACCCCTCCCCCTAAGACCGGTGATACAGGGTCTGCCCGGTTGGTCGGGGCCTGGGGCTAGGTTCCCAGCCCGAGCGCCCAGGTAGGTTAAGACCCGCGGGGCCCGAGAGCCCCGGGGTGGGGACCTGCTCGGCGTCTCCCTCCCACGGCTGCCGACCGCCCGTTCATTTCCATGCAGTCAACGATAGTCAATGGATGTGAACAAGTGTAGGGACCGCGGGATTTCCGCAGCCTCTCCGCGCAGACCCGACCGGGGTGCAGCGGCTCGCTCGCGGCGCCTCCCGGGT